AATAACTAACCACAATAGCACTGGGTTTCCTGAATCACCTTGGGACCACTTGCCTTTGGACTTCATGTTTAATGAGCTGCTCAGCGTTCTTATAAAGAGAGGCCTGCCCTAGCTGGTTTGGCTCAGTGGATAGTGTCAGCCTGTGGACCGAAAGGGTCCTGGGCTCAATTCTGGTCAAGGCCATGTACCTTGGTTGCAGGTTCCTCCCTGGCCGGGCCCTAGTCCCAGCGCGTGCAGGAGTCAACCAATTGATGTGTTTCTCTCACATCGATATTTCTCTCTGTCTTTCCCTCTCTCTTCCACTCTCTCTGGAAATCAATGGAAAAATATCCTCACGTGAGATTAAAAAAAGAAGAAGAAAGAAAAGAGAGAGGCTTTTTTGTCTGTAAGCATCCAAACTTATTCAGGCTTAAAGAACCTTTATTTTTAGGAAAAAGTCTATGATTATAACTTGCATCTACAAGAATACACCAAATTACATGTAAGCTTTTCTTTGGAATAATAGCCAAAGTTGTATAAACCAGAAATAAGAATGCGTTGTTAACAAATTTATTTTGCTTTGGCTCCCTCAAGGCTGAAGAGCCGAGATTCTGGCTCTGTCCATCTTTGAATTCCCACGGATACTTCTGTAAGCAAAGTGTTTTGACCAAAAATGTAGGTCAAAGAAGCTTCACTCAAAGTAGAAGTTACCTCCCCCTCCCGCCCCACCCCCCCACGCGGGGCTCCCCTCCTTCCCTGCTGGGGGCAGAGGGAGGGTGTCGGGAAGCAGCCCGGTGCAGGAGCCACCGGCCTGGCACTGCAGGTCACAGCGCGAGGGGAAGGGCTCCCCTCTCTGGGCCTCAGCTGCACGTCTACAGGGAGGACTGGCCATCGCGGCCCCTGCCCTGCCACCAAAGTGTGGTCCGTGGGAGGCTCCCCGGGGAGCTGGTAACGGCACAGAAACAGATTCTGCTCCAGACCTCGGACTCCAAACCTGCCTTTTAACAGCCCGCGGAGGTCTGCACTTTACATGTAAAGAAGCATTGCACCACCGGGATGGGAGCGCCCCCTACTGGCTCTAGAGTGAAGCACATGTTTTAGGAAACTCCTTCCATTTCCTTCTGCTGGTTTCAAGGTTTCCAAGGGGGCAGGGGACTGAGGGGCCCTGCATGGGCCCTGAGGTTTGGGAAGCTGGGCGGTCTGCAGCCTGGAAGGATCTGCAGCTGGCCCTTTCTCCCTGTCTCGCCTCGTCACCTCTGCTTTAACCAGAGGCGGTGGAGAGCTGGCTGGGTCGCCCCAGCGTCCTCTCCTGCCTGTTGGAGGAGGGACATGAAGACAGAGGAGCGGGACCTCTCGGCGCTGCTAGGAAACCCTGACATATTTCACAAATGTGAAGGTCTGGGCTTTCCAGAGGCCGCTAGTCTAACTGGCTGCCCTGCGCAGACCTGGCCCCGCCCCGCCCGCCCAGATCATTGTGTTGAGGGCGCCCTGTGCCCTGCAGAATGTGGAGCAGCCTCCCTGGTCTCTGTCCACCAGATGGCAGCAGCCCCCCCCCCCCCCCCCCCCCCCCCGCCCACACACACACACGCGCACTCATGACAATCAGAACACCTCCAGATGCTGCCGGTGTCCCAAGTAGGGGGTGCAAAATCACCCCCAGCTGAGAACTGTTCTGGATTGTTCAGGGGTGTCTTTGCACAACGTTCTGGCCTACCTGAAGGAAAGATAACAATGTTTTTATGCCCAGGCAAGAGCAGAGAGGGGCAGGTAGGGAGGAGGAGGGTGGAATAAGAGCAGACAGAAACGTCGTCATTAAAGGTTGGGTCAGGTAGTGCTTTGTAGCACTTACATAGTCTAGAGATCGTCCTCCCAGCCTCCGCGTGGCGGGTGGGACCACGTTCTCACTGCAGACTGAGGAGCCGAAGCAGAGGTGCCGCCTGCTCCCCATGCCTGTCACAGGGCGCAGTGGGAGATGTGCATGCCAGCGAGACAGCTGGCTGCTGGGGCGGGGGTGGGGGGTGGGCGGAGTCCGGAAACGGGAGGCGAGGAGGGGCTATGCCCACCACACGCTGGCCACTACTCACATAGCGACATCCCAGGCACACCAGGCATGGATGGAATCCCACCCACGTCCTCCAGGAGGCCAGGAAAGCACTCCAATAATCCATAATGCCACAACGCACCAGCCACCCGGGGCGTGCGTGTGTTCTCGCACGTTTACTACGCAGGATGCCTCTGCCTGCACACACACACGTTTTGGGGTGAAGTGGCGTAGCTAAGTGAATGGAGGTTATTCTCGTTTTCATGCGCCGGGATGAATTGCCTTTCTTGAGCCACACACTGAGCTGGATCTAAAAGGCCAACGATACCAGTTGAGTAACCAGCAAGTCCTACGTCTCTCCACGTGTGGCTAGCAGTGGGCCTTTGACACATTCCTGTTCCTCTGAGTCTTAGAGGAGGGTGCCCCGTGGTGCTGACAGCTGGTCCCCAGGGTCTAGTTCAGGGGTGGGCAAACTTTTTGACTCGAGGGCCACAATGGGTTCTTAAACTGGACCGGAGGGCCGGAACAAAAGCATGGATGGAGTGTTTGTGTGAACTAATATAAATTCAAAGTAAACATCATTACATAAAAGGGTACGGTCTTTTTTTTTTAGTTTTATTCATTTCAAACGGGCCGTAGTTTGCCCACAACTGGCTCTAGTCTGTGGCAGGTGCTGTGCTGAGTTCTGTATGTTTCACTTCGTTTCATTGGCTAAGGCCTTGGGCCCCTGGGACTGGGACAAAGTCTCAACTGCAAAGCTTTGATGCCACGGTTCTTGGCTGAATTGGGTGAGTCATTTAAGCTCTGAACCTGTTTCCCCTGTAAAATGCGGAGGCTGGCAGCTGCAACCCGAGAGGCCGGCAGGGCAGCTTGCCCGGGGTCTCGTCCACTCAGGGGGCCGCACCCATTTTTAAATGCAGTGGGAAAGCACCTTGCACTTGGCAGAGTTTGAAGCAGGGATGTTTAAAACGATCTTTTTTTAACCGCTCCCTAGCCTGAACCAGGGGCTTCAGGTTCCCAGGTGGATACTGTCTGCCTTGCCCACGTTAAGTGTTCTTATCACAAATTACAATAATAAGAAGGAATAAAGAGGGTGGGAGGCAACTCTGAGGTGATACGCTGACGCCATAGATTGAGGCAATAATTTCAAGTCATATACTTACCTCCAAACTCATTAAGTTGCCTGCATTAATTATGGGTAGGTTTTTGTATGTCAATAAAGAAGTTTTAAATTTTTAAAAATAAAAATAAATAAAATGATCTCTTGGCCACCCTTAGGAGAACATTCCATAAGAAAGCTCTCAGCACTGAAAATACACCCAAATCTTGCATGCCCCGCCACACCTGCTCTAAGCCACTCTCCCGACACATCCTCTGGGAGTCAGAGAGGATGCCTGACTTAATATGACCAGAGCAGACTTTGAATTTTCACAGCCACCATCTCAGAAAACTGTCACTGCCTACCCACCGGCTCAAGTTACAAATTAGGTAGCATCATTGTGCTCCCCTTTCCTTCCCCATCCACTTGCAACCCAGCACTGGCACCGCGGGCTCTCCAACGAGGAGGGTCTCCAGGACCTCCACCTACTGTGAGGCACACCATCCCCGCTCTGGGCCCCGCGACCTCCCAGCCAGCCTCCGGTCCCAATCTGCCGGCCAGGGAGTGATCTTTAAAACTCTTAGTGTGCTTGTGTCTCTCTTACCGTGATGTGTAAGACTCTTCATCATCTTCCCTTTGCTCTTTGCTGCAAAGTTGTTCTCTGTGAGGCCCTGCATAATGGGCGCCTCTCTCCCCATTTACCGCTTGCTCACCAGGCCCCCCACACACTTTCTTAAATGTGGAAAGCCCCTCCCAGTCTCTGGCCTTTATGTTGCTGTGTCCCCAGCTCTTGGCAAGGTGGCAACTTCGCCTTCTTTGGTTCAGCGAGAACTCCCAGGTCATCGTGGCAAACATGGCCTCCCAGCTACTCATTACCCTTTACTTTCTTCAGTGAACTTATCCCAACCCAGCATTTTCCTCACTCGCTGCAGCAGGTGGGCGCGAAGGTGGAGCCGTGGCCCCACCTGTGGCATGCGTGCCCTGTGGGACCCTCTTCCCGAGTGCGGGCGGGCCTGTGATGGCTTCTAAGCCACAGAACACGGCAAAAGTGGCGTGATTTGCCCTGGCCCGTTTGGCTCAGTGGATGGAGGGTCGGCCTGCGGACTGAAGGGTCCCGGGTTCAATTCCGGTCGGGGGCATGTGCCTTGGTTGCAGGTATATCCCCAGTGGGGGTGTGCAAGAGGCAGCTGATCGATGTTCCTGGCTCCCTATCCCTTTCCTTCCTCTCTGTAAATAATCAATAAAATATATATATTTTTAAAAAGTGGCATGATTACACAAGAATGTGACATCCCCTTGCTAAGAGACTCTCTTCCTTGGAGGCTTTGAAGAAGCAAAACAAAATGTGTGCACTGCCACAAGAGAGGGACTGGATGCTACCAGTGACCATGTGGGCTTGGATGTAGATCCTTCCCCAGGCGACCTCAAATGAAAACCCAGCCCTGGCAACACTGACTGCAGTCTTACTAAGCGCCCAGCAAAGGACCCGGGCTGCTTTGCTCCGGCCCCCTGCAGGCACCCGGGCCACCGGCTGGCTTCCCTCTGGCCCCAGCTTCGTCAGGAAGGATGTCCGGAAGACGTCTGGTCTAATTAGCATATTACCCTTTATTATTATAGATTAGGTCATCTGGAAATCCAGATGGGCTGAGCCCCCAAATGGCACCAGCACTCAGGGATGGGGAGATTTTAAAGGACTCTGGGCAGGCTTTTTCTGGGCAGAGAATTCTCTGGGCAGGTCTGGATCCTGGGAAGGTCCAGAGGGGAAGGATAATGGTCTTAGCAAGTGGAATGTGGTCCAAGGGAAAGGGGATGTTGGTTGTGAAGTGGCCTAAAGATCAGTTCCCAGGGGAGGGGATATTGATTCAATTATTTGATCAGACCTAACATTCCAGCCTTTTTGTTTTATGGAATAGGGACAAAGGTCCTATCTTTTGTAGTTACTTCCTGCTGAGGGGGGAACGTTGATATCACAGGGGGATGGGTTTTGCTTGTAGTCGACTGGAACACTGTATAGATTCCTCCTGGTTGGACCGAGGGGTTGCAGCAGCATGAATTCCCTGAGGGACTGGATGGCGAAGGCTCAAAGTGGTCCTTAAGATGAAAAATGGTGCAGAATACATGGGCCAAAAACAAGGATGAGAAATAGGAATGTTAAAGGTCCTATGAAGGGAAGTAGCCAGTATACCAGTTTATATTCTTTAGCAGGTAGTCCCATGAATTTGACTCACTATTCTTTGTGGCCCTTTCTGTTAATTTTGGGGCAATATCCCTGACTAGGCCAAATTGATTGACATAAAAACATTAAAATTTTGAAGATAATGAACTGAACTGGAATCTAACATTCACAACTACGTGTATGGAATCTATTGAAACACATTTTCCCTCTAAAATCACCCTTATTTTTATTAACGAGCTAAATCAAGACCCAATTTATTCACTGCAGTAAGTCTAATTACAATTTGGCCTGATTGTTTGCACAAACACAATAAGGATAGCAATTGATTATATAGGCTTTTAAAAACCTGCTTTGCTGGAATCTAATGATTGTGCTTTAATTAGCCCCTCAGGGCAAAGAAGCTGAGCCACCTAGCTGCCATCAGGTTTGCCTGCAATACCTGCAGACTTGGTGAATTCCTCAAGTTCTTGAAGTCCCCAATGATGTCTTGAGGTCCCTTCTTGTCGCTTTCTCTCAGGAAAGCGACCTTCATTCCTTACCTGAAACACTGCCATGAACCACGTCGCCTGATACAGCCAGGCAGCAGGCTTTTAGATGTGAGGTCTATTCAAATAGAAGCAATGTTCCTCCCCTGGGAACTGACCTCCAGGCCACTTCAACCAACATCCCCTTTCCCTTGGACCACATTCCACTTGCTAAGACCATTATCCTTCACCTCCAGACTTTCCCAGGATCCAGACCCACCCAGAGAATTCTCTGCCCAGAAAAAACCCATTTAGACTCCTTTAAAACCTCTGACGCCCTATCCCTGGGCACTGGCACCATTTGGGGCTCAGCCATCTGGTCTCCAGATGACCTGGTACATTTATAATTCTTTACCTCTTCTGGCCTCATGTGTTCCCCCCTCAGCAGCCCTAACATTTGGTGCCAAAACCTGGGAGGGTTCCACAGGGAAGGGGAGCCATTGCCCGGGACTGGTCACCTGAGTTTGCTACTCGGAGAGCAGGAGGCAGCAGCAGCTTGACCCGGGCTCACCTCCGCATCCCCCTCGGTGACGCGATCACCGCCTCCATTAGGCCTCCCTCCCGTATGGGCCTCTGGACCAGCCAAGGAGGACGCCAGGTCAGGGGCCTTTCCTTCCCACTGCTGACCCCGCACTCAACACCAGCTCACCTGGCCTCCGGGAAGTGACAACTGGGTCAGCCCTCCCGACTTCTGATGCCGTCTCAGACAAAAGGCCCAGCACTAGGCCAGGAATCCTCTCCCATCCTGCCTTGCCCAGGGACCAGTCCCACAGCCTTCCTCTCAGGGGACACCCACCACGCAATCAGACTGTCTTCCTCCCTCCGGAGCCAGCCGGGACTAGCCAGCTGGGATGCCTCCCTCAGTCTAGCTTCCCGGGTCTCCGTGTTGCTTACCTCCTCTTCCCAATATACACCATTCCCTCCAAAAACACACTCCTTTGGGATGTCTCCTCCATGTTAACACACTCGGCCTTTCCACAGAGGTCCGGCCAAGAGCCTTCTCTTCTATTGTAATATGGCCCGGCCACAATAAATCAGACATGACGCACACTGGACTGAGAATGGAAATTTCAATTTTAACATTCTCCGGCACTTAGACAGCTTCCAATGGGAAGTGGTCAGAGATCCCCGACGTCCAAGCCTCCGTAATTGTCCTTCTCTGTTCAAACCTGCTCTGCCTCTCAAATCCCACTTCTCCACTCAAAGCCCCTCCTGCCAACCCTGGACCTTTCCACCCTGAGGCCTCTGGTCTGTCCTTCCCCACCCGTCAGGTCCCTCAGACCCCTTCTTTGACCCTGACAGCCGTGCCAGGACTCCTACCACACAGAAAACGTGACATGTGTTCTGTTAAGTCCGTGGTATGTGGCAAGTTGTTATGTAACAACAGAGAACTGACACGCTTGTTAAGTGACTCCCACATTAGAAAGGAAACTTCAGGAAACTTCTCATTTTTCTCTACTCAGACCCCAGAGCCCAGCGGGGTAGACCCTCACATGAGGGAAAAGCACATTCCATGAACACTCCCCGGCAGTGTCCATACCCCCTGCTTGGCAGGGATAGGCAGCTCTTCGCTAGTACAGGGGAAGGCACTTTTGGTGACAGATGTGGCTATCATAAGATGCTGGGAAGCTTCCTTTATGCCCTACTGTGGCAAACTGCCCACATCTGTTTTTGTCTGTCTAGCACACATTTCCTTTCCTTCTGACATTCCTCGTGAGCCTCCTCCCATCTGTCTGCGCCCCAGTACCTCCACCTTTTGTGGGACCAGTGGAGCTGACCTACCCCCTCCCCGGGTTCCTGAAGAGCTTGCCCAGCCCAGCCCTGCCCTATCAGCACAGTCCATCCCCGTCACTGGGATTGGTCCAGGGTTGCTCACATGACCCAAGCCTGTCTAATCAGAGCCAGACCCGAACACTTGTATGTACTATTAGACAAGAGCAGCCTCCTAGTCCCGCACAAAGTGCTACCCATAAGGCTGCTGTAAGCCAGAGCGGCCGGATGGCCACGCAGGGAGGGCCTGCGGAAAGGCAGCTCACTCCAAGGGACACAGTGCTGAGGCAGAAGGGAGCCTGGGCCCAGCAGCGCCGCAAGACCCAGCCCCGGGCTTCCCAGCTGAAATGAACTCCTCCCCTCAGCCTCCTGTTATGTAAGCCACTTTGAATTGTATACCACCAGCAACTGAAAAGCCATCTTACCAGGATCTGCATGAAATCGACAAAGAACAGGGGGTCTGATGTCTAAAGAGAAAGGAAATATAAAGTAAAAAAAAAAAAAAAGAAAATCTAAACAAATATTTATTGAATAAAATCCACAGCAAATAAACCACTGAAGTAGAAATTCCATAGAATTTTAAAAATTTCTGTAGTCCTTTAGCGTTTTCATAGAACTTTTTTAAAAAATGGCTTAACAGGACAAGTTCTTTAAAACAATACAAAAGTATCAAGTGCCAAGAGTAAAAGCACTCACAGGAGTCAGCAGTGGATACGACTCCTTTAGACTTCTGAAAAAATGCTCTTGACTATAAAATTAAGGCTGTTCTAACTTTGGGTCCATTATTGTCCAATGTTGCTGTTCTTTCTGAATAAAAGCTAATAACACCGAAGAGCTTGCTCTGGTTTGGATATTTCTCACCCCCACTCTTGTTTCAAACCAGTGGAGAAATAAACAGCTCCTCCCATTTCTAAAAAAAAGGAACAGATAAAAAACAATCCACATTTGTCCCAATATGGGCCCTTGGACACAAGATCCTTGGGTCAAGTCAACCTTAGGATCCCAGCGCCAGGCTCTAGGGGCTCAAACTGCCAAAGGCAAGTCTGCCTCACGGGGAGAAGGGGTGAGTGGCCGAGTTGCTGAGCAGGGCAGTTCTCACAGGGCCACTGCAGGGCCTACAAACAAGTGACACAGCAGAGGACACACCCAAGGAGCTGACGACCTAGCGCCCTCTGCGTCGTGATCCCAGCGACGTGTGCTCCGACAACCCTCCAAAGATGACTGGAACAGGCTCCATCCGCCGTCGGCATTCCTGGTAGGGCCCCTGCAGCCTGCAGACTTCACGGCCGGCTGGCGTCGCCGCTGGGGTTCTGTGTCAGTGGTCTGTTCCATGACGAGAGCAAATGGTCAGCTCTAGGGCCTCTGTAAAGAGCAGGGCTGAGAGTGTACACAGCTGAATATGTGACGTGCTTTGATAGTCATTTTTAGCTGCTTGCTGTCACCATACGGGATTGGGGCTACACCAGTTTCACAGGTGAGGAAGCCAAGGGCACAAGAAGTTAAAATGACTACGTGGAGACAGGGCTGATGCCCTTTTCCCTTCTTTTATTTGGATATCGTGCTGCCTGTATCCTCACAACAATCCAGGGAGAAAGGCAGAGCAAGGAGGAACCCTATTTTACCAATAAAACAGCTCAAGCCCTGGCCGGGTGGCTCAGTGGATTATGCTCTAACCGTTAAAGCATTGTCCTGATACGTCAAGGTTGCAGGTTCGATCTCCGATCAGGGCACATACAAGAATCAACCAACGAATGCATAAGTAAGTGGAACAATAGATCTCTCTCTCCCTCTCTCAAATCAATACATTAGAAAATAAAGAAAAAGAAATCTGAGAATAGAGAAGTTAAACAGTATATTCAAGATCACACAGCTAAAAGTGGTGGAGCTGGGATTCAGACCCTTATCTTCAGATTCCAATTAGTCAACTATTTCTTGATGATTCAACACCAGGGAGGTGGGGGAGGAGAAACAGGTGGGTCTTTTTTAGCCCCTGCGATGGCGATTTCCGAGGGTAGTGCTGCTGATATTACCTGGATCTATGGGCTGGCAATCCCATCACACACCAGCCTGGCTGACAAACACAATCCCAAGATGCATCTCCTCGAAAGATTTTCCTTCAAGAGCTGAGAGAACTAAACACTTCATCGCCTGCCCTTCCAGCCTGGAGCACCCACCTGACGAAACGCTAGCCACAGAGGCTGGTTGGGGAGGATGGAGAGAGGTCCTGGGAAAACATCACTTGATAGAAAGGGCAGACTCCGCCAATGAAGGAACTCAATTGGTCTCGCTTCACCTGCTCTGAACGTAGTTGGTGCAGCCAGAGCCATAGCATCTTCCTTGTGGTTATCAGGTGACAACCGATCGGCTCCAGATGGCAATACACAAGCAGGTGGCTGGGATGTGATGGCGCCAGAAGGCCTGTGGGAACGCTGGGCGTCTCCAGCTATTGGTTAGGCCATAAAGTAAACCCATTTGTCTAAGCTGGTATCTGCTTCGGGTTTCATTACTTGACAGCCAAAGCATTCCTACCTGATAACACAGGGCTGAGAAAGAATCCCATCTCCCTTAGGAAGAGCTGTAAGGAGGCCAGGCACGTAAGCAACGTGGTGGCTCTACCAACTGCCCCCACTCTCCCCACCACGGGCCAGAGGCCTCGCGATGCCCTGCCGAGGAGCGCGGCCTCCTCCTCCTCAGGCTGGCTTAGCTGCACAGGAGGCAGGTCGGTGTGCCTCCTCAAAAGACTGCTTAGTTCCCATAAACCCAGCTTAGAGTTTTGTTTCCTTTTTTCCTTTTTAAAAATTTTAGTTATGTTATTTTTTGTTTTAGGGTCAAAATTCCATTTGCATCATGAAATAAAGTAGGCAGTTCCTCTCCCTCTGTGCTGTGGATTATTTAACAAGAGAGGCATCTGTCTCTTGAGTTTTGAAGCATCACTAGTGCAAGAGCTTTCCACTGACCACTATTTTCTTAATAGCATAACACACACGTCTTTTCCACTCTCATGCTCCAATTTTTCACAGTGTAATTGGAAGAGCCGCATGACTCAATGAACCAATATTCTCCAATGACCAATGAAGTTACGAGATCGTGCACGGCTGGAAAGATTGCGAGTACTAGATAGACCAGTGGGTTCTAATGTAACAAGGTGCAGCAGGTCCCCGACTGCGCCTTTTGTCCCAGCACGGATGCAATGCCACAGGCTTCTGCACTTGGTGAGCTACCTGCGGTGACACTGGCTTCATGCACCATTTTGCTTAAAGTCTCAGAACTTAGGTTGACTTGAAGCGAGAACTTGCTGACAAGAGCTCACATTGCAACGGGCCATTAAGAGCTGCACTTCCCGAGCTCGGTGCTCTAGCACAGAGCAGGCTGACCATCTGCGAAGGCGGCTCCTCGCCCCAAGCACCGGCCCAGGGCAGCACACAGTGGGACAGTGCACAGACAGGACAGCCCACCCCCTAGGGCAGTGATGGCGAACCTATGACACGCGTGTCAGAGGTGACACGCAAACTTATTTTTTGGTTGATTTTTCTTTGTTAAATGGCATTGAAATATATAAAATAAATATCAAAAATATAAATCTTTGTTTTACTATGATTGCAAATATCAAAAAATTTCTATATGTGACACGGCACCAGAGTTAAGTTAGGGTTTTTAAAATGCTGACACGCTGAGCTCAAAAGGTTCGCCATCACTGGCCTAGGGAGACGTTAAAGATCTCTGAAAAATGGGAAACAAGGCCAATCCTTCCATTTTGTATTGGAAACATAACTACTTTTCATAAAAATATGTTCTGGACAGATGAAACCAAGATGGCGGCATAGGTAAACACCGGAGTTTGCTGCCTCGAACAACCACTTCAAAAATACAACTAAAAGATGGAACGGACATCATCCAGAACCACAGGAAGGCTGGCTGAGAGGAAGTTCTCCAACTAGGAGGAAAGAGAAAAACATACCGAAACTCAGAGGAGGCGCAGTGCTGAAGTAAAATACTAAGGTGCGGAGTGCATGCGGAGCGGGCTGGCAACTGAGGGTGCGGTTGTCGTTTTCAATCGGGAGGGAGTCTCAGGCTCTGAGCTCCAGTTCCGGGCAAGTCTCTAGGGACCCAGACTCATACGGGAGAAGCGGAACTGTCTGGCATCGCTCAGAACCCTAGGGCAGCTTTCTCTCCGTGGGGCTTGCAGCGATTACTGGGACACTGAGAAGCAGAGCCTCTGAAGGCAAGACTGAGAGCAGCCATAATTGCTAACCCCGCCCTGTTGATCCCGTGGGACCCGCCCGGCCCAAGCCCTGTAGGGAGACTTTTGCTGGATAGCCTCAGGCAAAGGCTAGATTAGCACCACCCTAGAGATCCAGGAGCCAGGAAGCCCAGAGGTTGGAGTGGGACCATCCAGTTTGCAGCTCCGTGGAACCATAAAAGACACACTCAGGGGGCAGACTCAGTGAGCACCAAAGCCCCATTGAAGCAAGTCTAGCCCCAGAGGGGTGTCTCCAGCACAGAAGTTCTCCCACTGCAGACACAGCTGATTCTCACAGCAATTGGCCTGGAGGTCAATTCCTCACAGTGATAACTACAACAATCAAGGCTTAACTACAACAAGACTGTGCACAAAGACCACAAGGGGGTGCACCAAGAGTGTCTACCTCAGGTAATTGGGACACTTAGCACAGAAAGGCACTCTATTGACACAGTGAAGCATAAAAAATGCCGAGACAAAGAAACAGGACACAACAGAATTGGAGGAAAGCAAACTGTTGGATATAGAGTTCAAAACCACACTTTTAAGGTCTTTAAAGAACTGTCTAGAAGCCGCTGATAAACTTAATAAGGCCCTCGAAAAGACTGGTGAGACTGCCGATAAATGTAGTGAGATCTTCAAGAAGACTGGTGAGACCGCTGATAAATGTAGTGAGATCCTCAAGAAATCTAATGAGACCCTCGATGTTGTGATAAAGAACCAACTAGACATTTTTTTTGTTTTGTTTTGTTTTTAGAGCTTGTCTTCTGTGCTGAATTTAGTTCTCCCAGACCACTGAAGCTGATGAAGAAATTTTCAGTGAAATGTTTAAAGGACTGTGACTGTCACTCTGCTCCAAGTTCCCCTGTTTCTGAAGAGCTGGAAGCAATTAAAGCTCGAGTCAGGGAGATGGAGGAAGAAGCTGAGAAGCTAAAAGAGCTGCAGAACGAGGTGGAGAAGCAGATGAATATGAGTCCACCTCCGGGCAATGCTGGCCCAGTGATCATGTCTATCGAAGAGAAGATGGAGGCTGATGCCCGATCCATCTATGTTGGCAATGTGGACTATGGTGCAACAGCAGAAGAGCTGGAAGCACACTTTCATGGCTGTGGTTCAGTCAACCGTGTTACCATACTCTGTGACAAATTTAGTGGCCATCCCAAAGGGTTTGCATATATAGAGTTCTCAGACAAAGAGTCAGTGAGGACTTCCCTGGCCTTAGATGAATCCCTATTTAGAGGAAGACAAATCAAGGTAATCCCAAAACGAACCAACAGACCAGAGATCAGCACAACAGACCGGGGTTTCCCACGAGCCCGATACCGTGCCCGGACCACCAACTACAACAGTTCCCGAGCTCGATTCTACAGTGGTTTTAACAGCAGGCCCCGGGGTCGTGTCTACAGGGGCCGGGCTAGAGCGACTTCATGGTATTCCCCTTACTAAAAAAAGTGTGTATTAGGAGGAGAGAGAGGAAAAAAAGAGGAAAGAAGGAAAAAAAAAAAAAGAATTAAAAAAAAGAAAACAAGAACCAACTAGAAATTAAGCATACACTGACTGAAATAAAGAATATTATACAGACTCCCAACAGCAGACCAGAGGGTCTCAAGAATCAAGTCAAAGATTTGAAATACAAAGAAGCAAAAAACTCCCAACCGGAAAAGCAAAATGAAAAAAGAATCCAAAAATACGAAGATAGTGTAAGGAGCCTCTGGGACAGCTTCAAGCATACCAACATCCGAATTATAGGGGTGCCAGAAGATGAGAGAGAGCAAGATACTGAAAACCTATTTGAAGAAATAATGACAGAAAACTTCCCCTACCTGGTGAAAGAAATAGACCTCCAAGTCCAGGAAGCGCAGAGAACCCCAAACAAAAGGAATCCAAAGAGGACCACACCAAGACACATCATAATTAAAATGCCAAGAGCAAAGACAAAGAGAGAATCCTAAAAGCAGCAAGAGAAAGACAGTCAATTACCTACAAGGGAGTACCCATACGACTGTCAGCTGATTTCTCAACAGAAACTATGCAGGCCAGAAGAGAGTGGCAAGAAATATTCAAAGTGATGAATACCAAGAACCTACAACCAAGATTACTTTATCCAGCAAAGCTATCATTCAGAAGTGAAGGCCAGATAAAGAGCTTCACAGATAAGAAAAAGCTAAAGGAGTTCATCGCCACCAAACCAGTATTATATGAAATGCTGAAAGGTATCCTTTAAGAAGAGGAAGAAGAAGAAAAAGGTAAAGATGCAAATTATGAACAACAAATACACATCTATCAACAAGTGAATCTAAAAATCAAGTGAATAAATAATCTGATGAACAGTACGAACTGGTGATTGTAATAGAATCAGGGACATAGAAAGGGAATGGACTGACTATTCTTGGCGGGGGGGGGGGGAGGGAAGGGGTGTGGGGGTGAGGGAAGAGATTGGACAATAATCATGCACCTATGGATGAGGACAGTGGGTGGGGAGTGAGGGCGGAGGGTGGGGTGGGAACTAGGTGGAGGGGAGTTATGGTGGGAATAAAGAGTAACTAATGTAATAATCTGAACAATAAAGATTTAATTGAAAAAAAAGATAAAAAAATATGTTCTGTATTTAACAGGTAATTTTGTTCTTTTAAATGAATATTTTTCAAATTTCTGTTATAATTTCCATTTGAATAATTATCGAGACTGAAACCACATAAACAAAAATTCTCGAAAGACTCATCTTTTTAAAGAAGGTAAGATGGGACCTGGGAACAAAAGGCTGAGCACCGCCGCGTGGAGAGCCCAAGGGTCCGAGCACCTTGTCTGGGAGCAGCCCTGACTGTCTCGTCTCTCCATGACTGACAGGGGGAGGCCAGGAGCCAGCCCTGACTCCGTCTCAGTCTCTCCATGACCGACAGGGGGAAGAGGAGGAGGTGGCCAGGAGCCAGCCCTGACTCCGTCTCAGTCTCTCCATGACCGAAAGGGGGAAGAGGAGGAGGTGGCCAGGAGCCAGCCCTGACTCCATCTCTGTCTCCATGACCGACAGGGGGAGGAGGAGGGGGAGGAGGCCAGGAGCCAGCCCTGACTCGTCTCAGTGTCTCCGCCTGTGACAGAGCATGTGCAACAGGGAGAGGTGTGGACACAGAGGCGTCAACCTCAATAAGCTAAACAGACCAACATTTCCTCTTTCATCTCCTTCAAGACTGACAGCGATCAAAACAATGTATGAGAAGCCTCATGCAACTGCAGGGATATCCATGAGGCTCAGGGGCTACTCTGTAGAAACCAAACTTGGCACCTCAGTCCTGAGAGCACGGGCTGGCACACCACAGCCCTCGGGCCAAATCTAGCCTACTGCCTACTTTTGTAAATAAAGTTTTATTGGAACTCAGGGACACTCATTTTTGTTGGCTAATTATCTATTGCTTTCATACCACAGCACCAGAGCTGGGTGGTTGCAACAAAGACCACACGATCTGCCAAATCTGAAATGCACCATCTGGCCCCTTACAGAACGCATTTGCCGACCCCAGTCGGAAAGTCATTTTACATCTCGGGTAAGAAGGCTTTTAAGTACCTGATCTGGATCTGAGTCCCTTCCCTGCCACTTGGTGCTGGGACTTGGCCTCTTTCTCCCTGTTGCAAAATGGGGCTAGTGCCTGCCTCCCCGGTGGCTGTGAGGGTCCCTAGCCCAGAGCACGATTAATTCAGCAAGGGCTGAAATGAAGCACAACGGGTCACAGCCCACCTGGAACTCAGATCCAAAAATCCTCAAGGACAAAATGCAAGCATAAAAAATCCCCTTGGGAGCCCCTTAGGATGGTGGCCCATTACAGGCATAAGGTCCCGGCCCGCTGGTCCCTCCAGCAGCTGAATGTCAGTTGAAGCACTGTCCCTACACAGGCCCCGGGGAAGGCGTCCGCCTGAGGAACAGCTCCAAACCTCAAGCTCTAGACTTACCCCCGATGTGAACAGGGACCAAGACAGAACATGGATATTCCTCCTTCTTCCCAGAAAAATACCTTAATTTGAATTTCTGTAAGTTAATGAACATCTTTCTAAAGGAACGAATCAATAGCTACCTCATAGAGTTGCCATGACAACACAATTGTCGTGTGGGTGGACGAGAGCGATAGTTTTGTTTGAAACTCCACTGTGAATTCCCATGTGATGCCCGATGTGCACAGGGAACGATGAGGACCTGGCCTCCTACAATTATGCTTCTAACACTGTTGGGTGAGGGTATTATTTGTAACCACCCTCCCCCTCCCCCGCAAGGAAACGATTAGGTTACCGCATTGATAGGTGTTTACCTGGGAGAAAACCAGTAGTTGATGAGGCTGGACATTGCCACGTAGGACACGATGATTGTCCCTGACACGGAGAGTGACACGAAGACCAGGACACAGAGGACGCAGAGCAGCGCGACGCCGCCCACAGAGATGACCAGCCCTGGAGGAGAGCTTGGTTAGTGGCATCATCTCACACAGCTGCCAGACCCTGGACCGTCGTGTTTAAAAAACAGTTAACTCGGACTTTTTTAAGTGAGAAAAATACGTTTTTCATAAAGTGGGATCCGTGAGGGAAAACGCAGTACCAACTATCAGGGAGGGCGGGGCTCTCAGAGCAGACAGCCCGAGGCGGATGCTACTTAAGTCATTCACCGCCTCTGGGGCCTCCTGGAGCGTTAGTTTGACGCGTGTGTAGAAAGGGTAAATGATAAATGCCTGCAGGTGCTGACCTGACAACTCCATGACTTGCCACATGTGTGCTGGGTGGTGGCAGTTTCTGTGTGCCCTGCTTCTCCTTCCCCCCATAACGAGTCCCCCTTTCCAATGTAGGACTAACGACATGGCAGGATGGCTGGCAGACACCCTGGTTCTTGCCTCGGGCGTAGTGAGCAGCCGGGACTCACCCCCATGGCCTTGGTGATCATCTGTAAACATAGAATCTAAACAATGTGTTGCCTTTTCATGAGACTCACAGAATCCTAGGTCAGCGTTTTCTGAAGTGCGGCCAGTAACCACTGCATCAGAACCAGAGGCATTGGGAGGCTGGTTAGAAATTCAGATTGCTGGCCCGAGCTGGTTTGGCTCAATGGATAGAGTGCCCGCCTGTGGACTGAAAGGTCCCATGTTTGATTCCTGTCAAGGGCACATGCCCAGGTTGTAGGCTCTCCCTCTCCCTTCCTCTCTGAAATCAATGAAAAAATATATATTTTTAAAAATTCAGATTTCTGGACCCTACCTCAGACCTCATCTCTGGATGAGGCCTGAAGTCATCATTTTCACAAAGCAAGACTCATGCACACTCAAGTCCGAGAACCACTGCTCTAAAGGCTTTGCACATGCTGTTCCTCTGGCCTAGAAAGCCCTTTCTTACCCAAAGGAAATGACGTTATCGCACATCTTCAAGCCCTGCCTTCTGTAAAGCTTTGTCACCAAAATAAAGGGGACCCATCTCTCTCTCTAAACTCACTTTGTCCCAGTACTCATTCATCCCTCCACCATTCCTTCACTCGCCCACCTGCCCATCAATACTTACTGAATGACCACTCTGCCAGGAGGTAGTTGGCTCATCACCCACCATGCCTACCTTCTTCAAGTATAAACTGCCTCGTCCAGTCCCCGGGGCAGGGAAACAATGCTGGGTGCTCTTAGCTCTGAGAAGCCACAGCAGGGACCACAGGCGACTGCCTGACCCACTGCCAACCATCCCTTTGGCTAGCATGTTGTGGCTTGTGATCTGACTTGAAAAGGCAAACTGAGCCAAACAGATCTGCTTTCTGGGCGATGTTAACTTAGCATCACAGGAGGAAGTTGAGAGTTGGCACTGGAACGTCAGGAGGAAAGGGGAGAAGGGGAGCCGCAGTACCTCGCAAGGCACAGCAGGCAGCGGGCGCTCAGTGACTGGCTGGCGTGATGGCCTCTCTGTTGGACAATGGTCAGCATTCACGGAGAGGCTGCCCTGTCTGTGGACTGTGCTAAACACTTCATGAAATGTCAGTTCCAATCCTCACAACAACCCTCTGAGACAGCATGTTATATCCCAGCCTCACAAAGAGGAATCTGAGACTCAGTGAGGGTATAGAACAGCCGTGGGCAAACTACGGCCTGCGGGCCGGATCCGGCCCATTTGAAATGAATAAAACTAAAAAAAAAAGACCGTACCCTTTTATGTAATGATGTTTACTTTGAATTTATATTAGTTCACACAAACACTCCATCCATGCTTTTGTTCCGGCCCTCCGGTCCAGTTTAAGAACCCACTGTGGCCCTCCAGTCAAAAAGTTTGCCCACCCTGGTATAGAACTTGTCCAACGTTGCACTGGGAGTGCAAATTTTAATGCAGACTCCGGAGCCCGTGTTTTACCTACTCTGACAAGTGGCCGTGGTCCATGTGATTTTGACAAGAGTAGGGACCTTTGACCAGAGTTGCAGATGCCCAATAAACAGTGTTCTCCCAGCTGAGTCATTTTCCAAGGGGGCGAATAACTGAGCAAGTACCTTCCAGTAACATGACGCCCACCAGGGCAGCCAGGGAGGTGAGAACCACGAGGAGCAGGAAGAAGCCAACAGGAACGGCCGACATTACAACAAACACCAGCAAGGTGAGGGCCGCAAAAGGGTGGCGGTCCAGGTACTGGCCCACTGGAGACTTCATGAAGGCAACCACCTGCGGGCAGAAGGAAGAGCCAGGATTGGATGCACGTCTGACGCCCGCGCTGCGGGAGGCACGCTGGAAGGCTCCTAAGGAAGAGCAGTAACAACCCTCCCTGACGGGAACCCTCACACCCACAACTGAAGGCGACTGAGAGCCCCACCCAACTGCGAGCCCTGCGAGGGAGGAAGGGCCTCTGAGCAGATCCCAGCACGTGTGTGCACTGACGCACTTCTGTACATCTGCCTCCCCCTGCACAGCAGAGGCCAGAGGCACAGAGGTCAGGTCCCAGCTCACCTGCTTGCTGGAAACGCAGCATCGCAGCCCTGCCCACCCCCCGCATCAGATGCTGCTGGTAAACAAGATGTGCACCCACTAAAGCTGGGGCAAGGGGGGACTAAGGTGTCACCTAGAGTCACGCAGCATCCACATGGCACAATGGAGGCAATCAGAGCTAAATCCCTCTCTCCCTGTCAAATGCTTTCAACGACTGCCACCTTGTTAGGAAAAAGCCTTTCCGTCATCAGCCCGGACACCACGTTGGCCACAGCTGGACGGCTACTGCAGCTTGTGCTGCCTCAACAAGCGGTTCTCCTTCTTCACCAGGTGTGGGGACCTTGTGGGCCAGCTCAATAGAGGAGGACTGCTTTCACTCAGAGCCGGCCCAGGATGGGCCTCTCTCCGTAGGCCACACGCCAGCTCTCTCCTGGAACTGACAGGCTGATTCCTGCTCCCTTGAAAGGTCCCATCATTCCAGAACTTTTCCCAGTAAAAACTGGTCCTTCCTATGCCTCATTCCTTAGAGTCCTGTAGGCCAGCAGCTGAAATGAAGACATAATTCAAGCTACAGTGATCACAGGCAGCACGACCCAATCCTCATGTGCCCCTACAAACAGCTGTGGCTTGTGATCTGACTTGAAAAGGCAAACTGAGCCAAACAGATCTGCTTTCTGGGCGATGTTAACTTAGCATCACAGGAGGAAGTTGAGAGTTGGCACTGGAACGTCAGGAGGAAAGGGGAGAAGGGGAGCCGCAGTACCTCGCAAGGCACAGCAGGCAGCGGGCGCTCAGTGACTGGCTGGCGTGATGGCCTCTCTGTTGGACAATCGTCAGCATTCACGGAGAGGCTGCCCTGTCTGTGGACTGTGCTAAACACTTCACGAAATGTCAGTTCCAATCCTCACAACAACCCTCTGAGACAGCATGTTATATCCCCGCCTCACAAAGAGGAATCTGAGGCTCAGTGAGGGTATAGAACTTGTCCAACATTGCACTGGGAGTGCAAATTTTAATGCAGACTCCGGAGCCTGTGTTTTACCTACTCTGACAAGCGGCTGTGGTTCACGTGATGTTGACAGTGTCTCAACGGTGGGAGGTGAGCAGGCTGCAAGGCAGGAGGCGCTCAGTGACAGGGACCCAAGTTCAGGGCCCCCTCTCCTTACCCAGAAGAGGCCTCTGGAGGAGAACTCTCCCGGCCAGACACACCCTGCCAGGCACAGAGGGCACACTGCCCACTGGCTACCCTGCCCCCACTGCTCCTTTCTACAAAAGCTGCCAAGTGTTGCTCTGCAGCTTCTCTAGCAGAGGGGACGGTGCAGGAAGCCCGCTGGCTTAGACTGCCCAGCTCTGCCCTCCAGGACACAGCAGGATTCTCCTGGTGGTGGTGGTAGTGGTGGTGGTGGTGGGGGGGGGGTGTGCTGAGGGCGAGGGGCGAGGCCATGAGAGGGTCATGGGAGTGGGCTGGCCCCTTGAGCTGCCCAGGTCCAGTCCGCATATATCCTTAGTAAGCCCCCCAGGCTATCTGACCGGCTGACTGGTTCTCTCTGGTTCTTCCTCACGACAGTCCCAGTGACCACGCAGGAGGGAGGGTGAGGGTGAGCTCCAGGTGCCAGCACGGTTGCTGTCAAGCACCTGAAATGTGGCTTGTGTGACTGATGAACTGGGTTTTTAATTGACTTTAAATTTAAAAACTGAAATGTGATTCAGTCATTGGAAAGTTTTAAATTACATTTTGAATAAGTCAGTTATGTCTCAAATAAATTTTCAACTGAAAATTTTATGAAATCTGAATAGAGATAAAGTATTTCCAATAAAAATTTAACATCTGAATTGAATGCTCTGAGTATATGGAAAAAAGGATGTAAAATATCTCACTAATGATTTACACCAGTGGTCGGCTCTTCCACAAAATATGGACTTCTGCACATGGGCCACGAAGTTTCAATCGCACTGTACGTGCACACCCGCACATGGTATGTTGTGGAAGAGCCACACTCAAGGGGCTAAAGAGCCGCATGTGGCTCGCGAGCCGCAGTTTGCCGACCACGGCACTAGGCTATAAAAAATATATTATTAAAGTTAATTTCACCTGTTTCTTTTTATGCTTTTAATGTGGCTATTAGAAACTTTAAAATTATATACATGGCTCACTTCCATTGGAAAGTAAAAAAATAAACAAAAAAAGAGAAAAAATGGGAAGTAAAGTGCGGGCTTTTGAGCAGGATCGTGAGGATAGTAAGAAAAATAATCGAAGAAGGACGAGCCCGGCAGTCCTGTGCAAGAGGCAGCTAGGGAGATTGCAGAAGTGGGACAGCCGCGCTGCTGGCCCCGGCAGCTGATGGCCCCGAGGGGGCGGCAGCGGGGGACAGGGAAACTTCGAGGGGACTTGCTGGGGATCCAGGAGAAAAGCAGGCCTGTGCTACTTGTCCTTAAGGAATCTACTTTTTCCTTAGCCTCTTCTGCAGCCGGGGCCTACAATTAATATTAATTCAATAACATTTTAAAAGAAACTACTCTGCCTCAGGACGATCTGACACACGTCAGGGCTTACCCCACTGATAACCTGCCCCATCGTCCTGGGAGCCGGCTGGCCAGGAAGTCCTCTAGCCCAGCGGTCGCCACCCTTCCGGACCTCACGGACCACCAGTTGGCGACCGCTGCTCTAGCCCAAATCCAGTCCAACGACCAAGGCCGAGGACGTAAGATGAAGAAGGGAAGAAATGCCAGGAGGCCAGGGTTCACATGCTGTAATGTCTAACTCACAGGGGGGTGAAAATAGGAAAGAAGGCACACCACATGCCTAGTCAGTGTGGGGCCTACAGCAGGTGTGCAGTCAGGGCTGGCCCGTATACATCTCTCTCTAGCAGGCGTGGACTTGCAGAACTGCCTGCTCACTAACATGGGCACAGTACTTGCCCTGCTTTTGTGAATATGCACAAAGCAGCAAAAAAACACTTGTCGCCTAACACACACATTCCCAGCTGAGGTCAAACTCAGTGACACTTGCCTTCTAGTTTCCGCTCTCTGAACAACTGTCCTCTTCATGACCCACTGAGTGCCACCTGTCCCCCCACATTTTTATGAGTTTGTTTTTTGTTGTTAGTGGTGGTGATTTCACCATTTAAAATGGCACCATGTGTAAGAAGGCAGCATTGTGTCTTACAGAGAAAACAAAATGTGTTAGATAAGCTTCATTCAGGCAAGAGCTATGGTGCAGTCTGCTGTGAGCTCACTGTTAATGAATCAACCATACATCTTAAATAAAGTGTCTTTAAACAGAAATAGTAATACAACAGGTATGTATTCATTGTGGATGGAAATGCTGTGACCAGGAGTTTGCCGGAACCTCGCCCTGTATTCCCCGAGGAGCAGAGGCCCAGGATTTGCTGACTGAGTGCTGGAGGTGACTTTATAGGACACAGCTGACACATAGACTGCGGATCAAGTGCAGAAGGCAGATGAGTTAACCTTTAGTAACAAGAGTCTCAGCCTGCTGCTTGTCCAAAGAAGAGAAAAGCTATCTAGCCCTAGCGGGTTTGGCTCAGTGGAGAGTGTCAAGGGCACATGCCCAGGCTGCGGGCTCGACCTCCAGTAGGGGGATTGGTGATTCTCTCTCATCAGTGATGTTTCTCTCTCTCTCCCTCTCCCTTCCTCTCTGAAATCAATAAAAATATATTTTAAAAAACAAAAAAAAGAAAAAGAAAAGCTGTCTAAATCCAGAGTGCCCGCAGCATTGGGACAAGTCGAGAAAGCCTCTCTACAGAGTGTATTACTCCAGACCACAAAGCGGTACCTTCTCCAATGGACCGCAGCGGGGCTGTGCTATCCAGCACAGAAATCACAAAACAGTTCATTACCCAACATGCACATTTTTGTGGGTATACTAGAGGCTCGGTGCATGGATTCGTGCATGGGTGGAGGTCCATCAGCGTGGCTGACAATCAAGGCCTATCGGGGGACCAGCTGGCTGGGGGGAGGGGCTGCGGGAGGTTGGCTGGGTGGGGGTAAGGGAGGTTGGCTGGCCAGCAAGGGGGTGGAGGGGCCACAGGAGGTTGGCTGGCCCAGAGGGGTAGGGGCCACAGGAGGTTGGCCAGCCGGCCCCCCCATTGGGGCCAGTTGGAGGGGGTGGAGAACCAGCCAGGTAGGTGGGAGAGGGGCCACAGGAGGTTGGCGGTGGGAGCACACTGACCACCAGAGGGCAGCTCCTGCATTGAGCATCTGCCCCCTGATGGTCAGTGTGCATCATAGCGACTGGTCAACTGGTCATTCCAGTCATTCACTTAGGCTTTTATATATATAGATTGCCCAGAAAAAAGTCTAGAAGGACATATAACCAAATGTTAATAATGCTGTATCTGGGAGCTGCTATTATTTTCCTGACAAAATGCTGAAAGGCACATAAAAGAAAGCTATAAAGATAAATGCAGGGAACTGAAATATACTATCTGAAGTCCCATCACCATTGAATAGTGAACCCCTGGAAAGTGGCTAGTTCAAAGTAAGATATGATATGTAAAATGCACACTAGATTTCCAAGACTTAGTATAAAAAAAACAGTAAAGCATCTAAATAACTTTTTTCATTAATAATTTTTATAACGATTACATGTTGAAATGATATTTTGGGTATACTAGATTAAATAAAATACATTACTAAAATTAATTTCATCTAATTCCTTTTAATTTTTAAATGTGTCCACTAGAAAACTTTACCATCTTTTTAGTACTCACCCATGGATATATTTTTCTATTGATTTTTCTTTTTTTCTTAGAGAGAGAGGGTGAGAGAGAGAGAGAAACATTGACTGGTTGCCTCCCATATGCACCCCCACCCATGATCAAACCTGCACCCTAGGTATGTGCCCTGATGGGAATCAAACCCATAACCTTCTGGTGCATGAGAAGACACTCCAACCAACGGAGATACCTGGCCAGGGCAGTCACTAGAAAACTTTAAATTACATCTGTGGCTCACATCACATTTCTATTGGACACTGGGTTTCTGATGGAATACTAAACTCAGATCTCCAACTTTGGCCCCCTCATTTTCAGGGTAATAGATGAGCCCAAATTAACAACAAAGCTAAGAAAAACTCCGGTATCTGAGACCTGGACTGAGAGCAGCCTTTCCACATCCAGTGAAGAAATGCATTTGTGCAGGGGTGGTCCTGCGGCTGAGCTTCTGGTCTATGAGGTGAAACTGGATGTGTTGTACGTGTGACTCTCAGGAAGTCTCCTGAAATTCACGGTGGCTTCCAAGTCTTTCTTCCCCCTCTCCTTCCTCCTACTGCCTGGAATGTGGATATGATGGCTGAGGCTAGCCGTCTGGGACAATGAGCTTGAAGGTCACAACTCAGGCATGGCAGAGAGATAGCTTTCTATGGGGCTTAAGCTAATGTTACCTTGGGATTTTCCATTACACATACTGATTAGAAACTGACCTTCGAGTTATTCTGGACAGATTCTATGAGCAAAGACAGCTTCCTCTGCAGCTCCTGCAAGTCCTTTGAGGCACTCGGGATGTCCTCTTTGGCCATTCTGCAACACACGTTAGTCTTTTAGGGATTAACTCTTCCACCAGCCGAATCCCTCGTCGCCCTGTCTCTTGCTGTCACTGGAGGACACAAAAAGTTTCTTAAACCATCAGTGGTCTCAGCAACTGGCCCAACAAGAGCTTCTCCTATCTTCACACATTGATGGTGGGTAAACAGACGGCGGGTAACTTAGCAATATCTACCAAAATTTCCAATTGCACACACCTTGATCCAACACTTCATTTTCCAGACACATGAAGGAAATAATAAAAGACATATCACAATATAACAGAAAGATGTGCAGTGAGTGTATCCCTGATTATAATATACTGGAGGCCCAGTGCATGAAATTTGTGCATGGAGGGGGGGCCAAAACATTCTGGTATCTGAGACCTAGACTGGCCTGCACCCTCAGTCTGGCCTGCACCCTCTCCAATCTGGGACATCCCTCTTGCAATTTGGGACTGCTGGCTCCTAACCACTCACCTGCCTGCCTGCCTGATCACCCCTAACCACTCTGCCTGCCTGCCTGATCACCCCTAACCGCCCCTGCCTGCCTGCCTGATGACCCTAACTGCTCCCCTGCTGGCCTGATTGCCCCTAACTGCTCGGCCTCGGCCCACCACCGTGGCTTTGTCCAGAAGGACGTCCAGAAGACGTATGGTCTATCCAGCCTAATTAGCATATTACCCTTTTATTAGTATAATTAGTAGCAAAACAATGGAAAGAAGCTAACTGTCCATTAGTAGGAAACTGGTTAAATAATGATAAATTCATACAACGGAGTGTTGGACAATTATTAAAATGATAATGTAGCTATTCAGTGACATGAAAATATGCCTATAAGTGAGAAAAAATTATAAAAGACTTCATATGGTTACATACATATTTTATGTACATACCCCATAGTGAAAGGTTAGAACAGTGATGGCGAACCTTTTGAGCTCGGTGTGTCAGCATTTTGAAAAACCCTAACTTAACTCTGGTGCCGTGTCACTTATAGAAATTTTTTTATATTTGCAACCATAGTAAAACAAAGACTTATATTTTATATATTTAAATGCCATTTAACAAAGAAAAATCAACCAAAAAAATGAGTTCGCGTATCACCTCTGACATGCGTGTCATAGGTTTGCCATCACTGGCCTAGAAGGACATCTAACAAAATTGTATGGGTATTATCTCTGAGAGCTTATGTTTATTTTTTTGGCCTGACAAAATACTGAAAAGAAGATAGAAGAAGCAAGAAAGCTGAATGTACTATTTCAAGTCCCATTGCCACCTCCCCCCCCCCCCCAAAGAAACCCTTTCTCAAACAATAATGGTGGCCAATTTCTGCATTTATTACACAAACCGGCTGGCTCCCAGCTGCGCTGCGCAGAACCCTCCTCGGATCACCTGTGTGTGCGCTTCTGCCCTTAACCGGCGCCGATGGGAGCCTGGCCGCTAATACACCCTGACAACCTGGCATTGCCAGGACTGCCCCAATCGCACATATTTATCTTTTATTGAATATCCCACACGCTAAGGGTGTGTGTAGGGTGTAGGGGTAGCTATGAATATCTACAGGGTCTAGTGGTAAATTAATGCGCATTTTAATCGCCGCAGCGGGAGCCTCAGCTAGTCCTGAGCAGCAGGACCCCCCCAACCCCACCCCCGGAGCGGCCGGTCCCCACGCCCCGCCTCGCCCCGCCTGCCTCTGAGCGGCGCGGGCAGAGGACTTGGGTTTGGGAAGTTGCCAGCACTTACCTCCCCTAACCCCATCTCTGCAACCCACAGAAACAGGCCCAGCTCCCCTAACTGGTCTCCGGGCCTGGCAGGTCCCGGCCACCAGGACCGGTCCCGGGAGCTCCGCGGGGCGGGCGCGGGTGGGAACGCCTCGGGCCAGGGCCGCCCGTGCCTCCCGAGCCTTCCCCTCGGAGCCGGCGCACAGAGCCACCCGCCCGCCATCGGGGGCAACTGCTACCCAACCGTCCCCGGGAGTCGGGGGCTGGGCCCACGGGGTCACTCAGGCCTCCTCCCCGCGTCTCTCCGCCTCCGAGGGGCCCGGGGCGGCCCCCAGGGGACGGGATCCCAGGGGAGGGGCGTGGTGCGGGCTGGGAGGCGCTCGGCGGGGAGGCGCTCGGCCCGGAGGACCGACCCGGAAGGGGAGCGCAGGGGGAGTGGAGCGCCCTCCAGACTTTGGGGGGCTCTGCAGTGACCGGAGGGGGTTCTCGGGAGAGGAGCAGGCCCCGTAAGGAGAGGCTGGGGACTCCGCAACCAGGATTCCCAAGTCGGGCGGGGTCTCGCGTGGGACGGGGCTGGCAACCCTTTCACCCCAAACTGGCAGGTGTGGGGCCGCGCGGGAGTTGAGCTCCCGGGGTCCAGGCCGCGGAGGGGTACACTCACCTTCTCCCCAAACTGCCGGCGGCGGCGGCGGGCCGGGCACCCCAGGGCCTTCTCAAGCCCCGCCCCAGGCTCCGCCGCCCGCCTGCCCCGCAGGGGGCTCTGCAGCGCACACCCGGTACCCGCGCCCGACCTGCGAGTTCTCACCTGGTCCCCGCCCCGCAGCTAACCGGCGTCCGCAGATGGAGCCGGGGGAGGAGCCGGAGGAGGAAGGGACGCGCAGGCCAGGGCGGAGCGTGCTGCCCGCCCCGCCCGCTCAGGGCCCCGCCCCGCTCAGGGCCCCGCCCCGCTCAGGGCCCCGCCCCGCTCAGGGCCCCGCCCCGCTCAGGGCCCCGCCCCGCTCAGGGCCCCGCCCCGCTCAGGGCCCCGCCCCGCTCAGGGCCCCGCCCCGCTCAGGGCCCCGCCCCGCTCAGGGCCCCGCCCCGCTCAGGGCCCCGCCCACCACAAGCCACGCCCTCGTCCCCCCCCCGCTCAGGGACCCGCCCCAAGCCACGCCCCCAGCTCAGGGCTCGCTTGCGCCTGCGGGGTGCCCTGGGCAGAGTGCGTTGCCACCCACCTACTCCCAGCCTTTTGGAACCAGGAGGACCAGCCCCGCGAGGTTTATGGAGGCGGAGACTGGCTCACAGGGAGCCGCCCTTCTTATTCTCCGTGGAGACGCGAGTGTTCAGGCCATCGCTGGAACAGGTGCACCGGAAGCTCTTCTGGAAGCGTCTCTGGAGCTCAGGGTATTTGGAATAGGATTGCGATTGGAAGATTTAAACATCACTTCTCGAATGCAGGCGTCCTGAGCTTATCTCCGTTCTTTATACATGAGAGTCTAAGCCCAAGTCCCTGGGTTCCAGGAAGAGGCCTCCCAGCAGGGCTGACAATGCGCTGGGAAGCTCTGTGTTGAGAGCCTGTCCTGCATTGCAGGAAGCTTAGCAGCGTCCCTGGCCTCCACCCCCTAGAAGCCACTGGTACTCCCCTTCCTCCCAGTTGTGACAACTAAAAATGTCCCCAGGCATTACCACATGTCCCCTGGAGTGGTTGAGAACCACTGCCATGGAGAATACTGGTTAAGACCATGGCCTTGGGGTGAGGGGGGCACCACTCCTGAGCTCTGTCCCAGGGCTGCCTCTCACTGTGTGACCCTGGGCCAGTGATCTCACTGAGCCTCAGCTTCCTCTGTGAGATGACAGACCTGAGAGCTGGCCTGCTGCTGCACAATTAGTTCTCGGGCACTTTCCCTCCTGGCACCTATGCTGATTACATCTCTACCATGGCCTGTGGCCATAGCACCCTGGAAAATAACTCTTTTTTTGTTTGTTTGGTTTTTAGTATTATAGATGTCTCCCATTCCCCTCCAACCCCTCTTTCCAGCCCCTATTCACCTCCCCCGCTCCCGCCCCCCTCCCAGGTCTTCACCACCCTGTTCCCATGTCCACAAGCAGTTCATATCCTATATCAGTGGTTCTCAACCTTCTGGCCCTTTAAATACAGTTTCTCATGTTGTGACCTAACCATAAAATTATTTTCGTTGCTACTTCATAACTGTAATGTTGCTACTGTTATGAATCGTAGTGTAAATATCTGATATGCAGGATGGTCTTAGGCAACCCCTGTGAAAGGGTCGTTCGACCACCAAAGGGGTCATGACCCACAGGTTGAGAACCGCTGTCCTATATAATAAAGAGGTAATATGCAAATTAACCCTCACACCCTCACAAGATGGCTGCCTACAACCAGGCTGGCAGGGGTGTTAGTGAGGGATGACTGAACAACAGGCTGCATGGGGTGACCAGGCCAGCAGGGGGGACAGTAAGAGGCAACCAGACTGCCGGGGGGGGGGGGCAGTTAGGGTTGACCAGACCAGCAGGGAGGGTGCAGTTGGGGGTGACCAGGCTGGCAGAGGGGGCAGTTAGGGGCAATTAGGCCAGCAGGGGGGGGCAGTGAGGGGCGACCAGGTCAGCAGGGGAGGCAGTTGGGGGCGATCAGGCCAGCAGAGGGGGGAAGTTGGGGGTGATCAGGCTGGCAGGCAGAGGCAGTGAGGGGCGATCAGGCTGGCAGCAGGGGGGGGGGCATTTAGGGGGGACCAGGCAGGCAGGCAGGTGAGCGATTAGGAGCCAGTGGTCCAGGGGATTGGGCCTAAACTGGCAGTTGGACATCCCCCGAGGGGTCCCAGATTGGAGAGGGTTCAGGCTGGGCTGAGGGGACCCCCTCCCCCATGCACTAAATTCATGCATCAGGCTTCTAGTCTATATATATAAAAACCTAATATGCAAAGTGTCTCCTTGGGAGTTCGACTGATCTAGAGCAGGGGTCCTCAAACTTTTTAAACAGGGGGCCAGTTCACTATCCCTCAGACCGTTGGAGGGCCGGACTCTAGTTTTAAAAAAACTATGAACAAATTCCTATGCACACTGCACATATCTTATTTTGAAGTAAAAAAACAAAACAGGAACAAATACAATATTTGTATTTGCATGTGGCCCGCGGGCCGTAGTTTGAGGACCCCTGATCGAGTTTGATTGCTTGCTATGACATGCACTGACCACCAGGGGGTGGTGTGGAGTGAAGGGAAGCCTTGGCCGGCAGCTGGCAGCTGCTAGGGACACTACCAGTGCAGGAATTTCATGCACTGGGCCTCTAGTACGCATGTAAGTTCTTTGGTTTCTCTCTTCTCGTCTGGAAAATAGCTCCTTAGGCAAGGAGAAAGCAGCCATGGTTGCAGTGGGGCTGGCTGTGAAGAACTCAGCACCTTGCTGAAACGCAGGCTCCAAAATATGTGATGGTATTATTTCTACCAACTCATGTTTCTAGAAGTAATCAGGCTGGTGCATAGAAAAATAAGCTTGGACTAATAATAAATATAAGCTAAGGGATCAGGCTCTAACTCCACAACAGCGATGAAAGGGGACCTAATGGTGGTTGGGGATTGGAGGACATGGACAGGGTCCCTACATTGTGATGTTTAGGTCAGTCCTGTGTGGCTTCCTGCGTGTGGCTCAGCTGCAGTCTGATGGGTGTCCCACCCAGGAAAAGGTTTCTGTGTGTTTTGTTTTAGGACAATACTTTACAACCATTATTCCCTGGTGGGTGCTGTTTTGGAAAGCTGAATTGGGGCTTTCACTGCTGCCATCTAGGGGCGCCTCTGTGAATCCCCCTACTCCTCCCACCTCTGTCATTTTTGAGGGCCAGCCCCGTTTCGCTTTTCCTTGTATATCAGCTGCCTCCTCCACCACATTGTTTATCCCATGATGGCAGGAATCGTAGCAGGTCTCCAGACATGGCTGCTGATAGCCATTTGATGGGTCAGTGAAACAATCCCATGTGCAGTCTCTCCTATGTCCCTACAGTGTTTTACTCTGGCTAAGCAGCCATCTCAGACCTGCCAGAGCACTGGGCTCTGAATAGGATTGTGTGAAAACTTTCCTGCAGCAGATAGAGACCCTACACTGTCCACACCACAGAGATGGGGACAACCTAGACCAGGGGTGGGCAAACTTTTTGACTCGAGGGCCACAATGGGTTCTTAAACTGGACTCAGAAGAAGGAGCTGCGGCCGTGTTTCCCGACGTTGCCATGTTAACACTGCTGCTGGTGAAGGAGCGGAGGGGAGAGCAAGAGAACCCCCCGCTCTTTCAGCTCCGCGGGCCGGGCCGGATAGAACAGCTGGACGGACCGGATCCGGCCCGCGGGCCGTAGTTTGCCCACGGCTGACCTAGACCCTAGTGGATCTCTTCTCTCTGTATTTTCAGTTTCAACAAATAAAAATGCAGGACGCCTGGTTTAATTCCAATTTCAGGTAAGCATAACGTTTTAATATTAGTATGTTCGGCTGTTGAATGGGACCTACTTATACTAAAAAATTCTTTGTTCTTTACCACAAAGTCTAAGTCCAAGCCGTGGCCGGTTTGGCTCAGTGGATGGAGCGTCGGCCTGAGGACTCAAGTGTCCCGGGTTTGATTCTGGTCAAGGGCATGTACCTTGGTTGCGGGCACATCCCCAATGGGGGGTGTGCAGGAGGCAGCTCATCGATGTTTCTAACTCTCTATCCCTCTCCCTTCCTCTCTGTAAAAAAATCAATAAAATATATTTTTTTTAAAAAAAGTCTAAGTCCAAAGGCAGAGTCCCTTACTGCCACTCACACTCCCTTCCTGGGTCATTGCTAAACACCCTCTCATCTGCCCTCTGTCACAAGTTTCCTGCTGCCTGGCTGCTCCTCCAGCAAAGGGGACACCAGGACACGGCAGTCAAGCCCAGGCTTGTATGTGGGCACCGCAGAGGCCTCTCCCTCCTTAGCAACCGACACGGAAGCCGGGTCATTGCCTGGTCATCACGCCTCCCATGTTAACAGCCAGGGAGGGGGGCAGCGACGAGTTCATTTGCTGAGGATATTGTTTCGGGGGTGCCTCCTCCCCATTCTCTGTTAATCTGTAACTCTGCTTCCGTTTTCCCGTGAGCTGGGTGTGTTCCTGGGAAAGACCCAAGGGGAGAGCTCGGTGGGACAGCAGGGAGGCGTGGCAAGGGGAGCTGGAACCGCAGCCCAGAGCCCAGCAACGCCCAAGGCCGCCTCCTGATTCTCTGGCCTCCCTTTCTCTCGTCTACCAGGGAGCTCCTCGGGGGCTGAAGTCTGCGACCTCATAGAGGCAGCCCTGGGAACGGAGTGTTCAGAACATCTGGAAAATTCCATTGTCTGTGTCCTCCCTATGATGCTCTAAGGAAGTGTGGAGTTCAGACCCACTGGTAGGAGAGGAAGAAACAGACTCCTTATTCCTTTTTTGAAAAAAAGGTCCAACTAGAACGTACAATATGAATGACATGGATTGCTCATCTCCAGAGGTGTGTATGCATTTTAAAGTATTTTTCTTTTTCTTAACCCATATTTTCAACATGTAGAGACTGGGGCGTGGGTGGGAAGGGGATGTTTCAATCACAGGCCAGTGGCCGTGGGCTTCCTTGACTGAGCTAGTGTGCTAACCACATGTTTATGTTGTGTCCTTTGAAATATGCTTTTTTCTGAATTAAGCTTTTTTATCCAATCCTCACATTTTACTGGGAAAATTTCAGCTGTTGTTCCCTTCCCTTCCCTTCTAAGGCAATTAGACCATATATTCCATCCCACCGTTCCCAACACTGGCTGCACATCAGATCATCCTGGG